AAGTTGACTGCAAATTTGATCCGTTAATCCCATTAAATAAAAGCTGAAGAAATTTCTACTTAGCTACAGTTGTTTTATAACCATTACCAATAATAAAACATAATTTTTAATATCTATATGTCGTGTTTCAGCTAGAGTGATGAGCAAGCGAAGCAAGGGTTTAAACAATTAAGGACCCTAATCGCTACAAACATACTCAAGATAATTCATAAATTTAAAATTTTAAAATATATGAGATTAATTTATAGAGCACTAAAGCCATAACACATCGCCAGCTACGAAATAATCATTTTCGGAGAGAAGAGTTCAAGCGCCTAAATTAAGCTGATAACGATAACATAGATAAAAGTATCTACAGTCAAGGAAGTGTATCATTGGGCTCCGAGCAGGTGATGGTCTTTTATTACGTGATAGAACACTCTTATAATAAAACATTTAAATTGTGCATTATCTACAGTGGTCTGCTTGGCCACTCGATCGCAATCAGCGACTAGCCAGTTACCTTGCCGACATTATAGTCTGACAGTATGGCAAGTTGTGGGCTTGGCCAAGCCCACCAAGCCTATAAATTGCCCAGAGGCTGTCCTTCAAGCCCACGGCGGAAGGCAGTGGACAGAAGCTTCCCGGAAGTTCTTGGGCAAGGTTTTCTGAACCTGCATAACTAAAGATATGCTGAAGCAGTCGCCGCCCGTTCGCGTGCGTGCGTGCGTTGTCAGCGAACATTTAATTTCTTGCATACTTACGTACTTGCATTTCTTTTTTATTGCCCTAATATAAGAGAATCAAATAAATGTTCGATTCGAATGTAATAGTATGTTACTGGTACTATGATGGCGGAGTGTGGTAACTTGTATCATTGGAAGGTATACCGTGTTAGGCAGTAAACGTTATGATGTGTTAGTCAGGAAAAAAGTGTTTGAAAGATTACTAGAATTTGCAACAAAAGCCACTACCAGGGGCCTCGCCTATGGGGTGCATGCCGGAGGCCAGCTTTTAGTTCATATTTCTTTCCGTAGGTGAAAACGCTATAGGGCATAACAGCCTATATGAAGTCACGTGCTCAAAGCCATAGCGCCCGATGTCCACAGCCACAAAATAAGCTTGCTAAAGGTAAGCATGGCCATCCTGAATCTGGCCAAACATCTTCCGGCCTAACCTACACAAGTTGCATCATTTCTTCACCTAAAACAAACCTGAGCGGACCTAACCAAAGCATTGGCTGCAGAAAGTTAGAATGGCGGTCCAAGTGTGCTGGACCGCCCATAATTCTTGCCGGAAAGAAGGTTGCGAGCCGGGACAGCGCCAATAGGTTTGGCCAGAAGAGGTTAGGCCGGAGTAGGTCCAGCCAGATGAGTAACTGCCTGTTTATGAGCGAGCATGCTTGAGCATTGCCTGCATTGGCTGACAACCTACGGCGCTATTATATTTCGGCAGTGTGTCGCTTGTCTAGATTACGGAGTTAAAGCGTAGGCTGCGGCTTCTAGCTCTGAGGCTGAGTAAAGGTAATGTATGGTGAAACTGGGCGTTGGCTCTAGGGCTTAATTTAGAGTAAAATTTGTGGCCTACGGCTGCACCCCCTCGGCTATAAATTAAATAAACTCCGTTGCAACTCATCGACGCGACAACATTTATTCACGCATCGAGTCGCCGACATGCGGAACAGCGTCCTTGATTACATTGATGACCCAGGGGTGCATGCAGGAGTCCAGCTTTGCCAAACTTCACACTTAGTTCATATTTCTTTCCGTAGGTAAGAATGCTAGAGGGCATAGAAGCCTATGAAGTCAAGTGCTCAAAGCCATGGCGCCGAAAGTCCACAACCACAAAAAGGTAAGCATGGCCAAATAGTGTATCTGGCTAAACCTCTTCTGGCCTAACCTAAACAAGCTGCAACATTTCTCCACCCAAAATTTCTCCTGGAATCTCCCCGCTTTCCATAGTTTGGGAACAGCTATGTAAAAATTCGTTTTTTGGATGGCTAACGAAAACCAGAGTTGAACCAGAGTTGACGTTACGTACGGCTCACCAATCCCATGCAGGAATGGATTTAATTTTAACTGTATTTTTTATAAATTTGAATTTATATGAGAAACTGAAAATTTATCTTGTGCATAGTCAAGAAAGGAAATTTTACTTTTTTGGCCATAGTCGCCATCAGTTAGTTTGAAAAATTATGATTAGCACATGCGTCGTCGTAACGTGCAGCGATGAGGCTCAGGCTATACATCGTGCAGTCCCGCGTTCGAGACTTGGGAGCAGCTCGTCGTTCGTCTTACGCCGGACTGCAGTTGAGCTTAGTGTAATCTCATATTAACTCTTCACTTCTTACCGATGTTGACTAGACAATTGTATGCTCTCTAAGGCTGTAACTGCTTACCAATAAGGTTGCGTAGAGTGGAAAGCCGTTATCAGTTAATTCAACACAATCTAAAATTAAAAGCATCATCGTTTAATTTTTCGTCCATTTTCTAATGCTTTCTTAAATTTTGATGTTGCAGTGTTCCTCATGGCAAAGACTACACAACACTGATATTTGTTTGGTATACCATTAGTTGATTTTCGATCACTTTTTGCATCATTTCTTCGGTTGTGGGGGAAAAATGTTTTTTCCACGAGCATTATTACCCACGATTCTGACTTTTCTTAGAATGCTATTTGTATTCAGAAAGTTACTGAAAATAGCATTAATATAAAATCACGTATAAATTCAATTGTCCATTCGTTCCCCTAACTGCGGAGGAAGGGGGCGATTTTTTATCACATTGTCAGACTCGGCTAGAGCTGCCCGATACGGGGAATATTCCCCAGCGAACCGCTCAGTAGTCGCCAGAGTCTGGGCCAGACTGTCGTAATTAAGTAACTGTCTGACTTGAGATAGGAATGTTGATCAAAAAGCGGACATAGAGAAGCTGTTTTACTTGCTTCCTGAGTTTTAGGCGTTCCCTATTTCAGAGTCATTTTGCTTGGGGAGTAGTTCTGTGGCTAAACCAGAGCACTACTTGGACCAAAACCAGAAGCCAAATGTCTTCGCAACTGTGGAGAAACTGCGACACCAGCGCATGCTCGCCGTCCAGACTCTGGTGAGCGAAGTTAACTTCGAGAGAAAGTTCTACATATATGATTCTTGAGAAGAGTTGATATTTGGGGATTTATGAACCGAATGTTATGCATTATGCGTTGAACTGTGGATTTTTTTACGTTTACAATGTATAATACTGTGGTTCAGATTTGGCTATTGAAGTTAAATGCTTTCTGGTCTTGGACGCATATTGTTGTGATCTTAGATGTATATGTAATCATATCCAATATATCAATGAACCGTGCGCAAAGCAAATCGTCATCACTCTGTAAAGTTAAAAACATAACAAATCTATTAAACAATTTGTCCCGCAGAGAATGTATTGCTACATCCATGAATGCATCGACCTCTACGTTGAAAACAAGAAAATTCTCACTGAAGGTAAGTCAATGACGAAAAATGCAATCGATAGTTTTTTTATTCAAATCATTGTATGTGCATTGAATTCAACAAATTTCCGTTAACGCGTCAAACTCTAATGATTTGTTAGTGAAATTATACTTAGTAAGAACATTAGACATTTTAGAAATTATCTATAATTATGTATCACAAATTTTTCTGCATTCCAGTACAACTTGGGATTTGAATTATAAGATTTTAGCCTTTCTATATAGTGATCTTTCTTAAAGAAATTTCTACATATAATGTATAAATTATATAAAAACTTCTTTTTGGACAGGAAAAATTAATCTGGAAGAGTAAGTGATTTGTTTCGGGGAAAAACACGAAATAACTAAAATAATTAAAATTCTAATAATAAAAATATCGTGGAAAATAATCAAGTTGATGCCTAATCTTCAGTACATCCTAAATTTCAAAATAGCTAGTTTAGAAAATAATTGTCCTTCAATAATTGATGGAAATGAACAATTACTAGAAAATAGCAAGAATATTAGGCAGAGTTGCAATGTAACAATTTCGTGGAATAAATTGCGCTAATAATTCACTCAATCGGCGGTTATTAGATCATACGCATACAAACCCAATATTTAAATTGATATGAATTACGGTAAGCTTGGTCGTTGCCTGCTGTTCTCAAATTGCTGATTATTGATTAAATTATAATTATATTTTCTCTTATTGCATACGACTCACTGAACTTCCATCCCATTTAATTATAAGAATGTTCATTGTTAGCGCAGCCGTGGACCAAAGATTTAACTCATAAACAAGCCCTAGCGCCAACGCCTACCCTCATACGCCGGACTGCAGTTGAGCTTAGTGTAATCTCATATTAACTCTTCACTGCTTACCGATGTTGACTAGAAAATTGAATGCTCTCTATGGCTGTAAATGCTTACCAATAAGGTTGCGTAGAGTGGAAAGCCGTTATCAGTGAATTAAACACAATCTAATATGTAAAGTATCATCGTTTAATTTTTCGTCCATTTTCTAATGCTTTCTTAAATTTTGATGTTGCAGCGTTCCTCATAGCAAAGACTACACAACACTGATATTTGTTTGGTATACCATTAGTTGATTTTCGATCACTTTTTTGCATCATTTCTTCGGTTGTGGTGGAAAAATGTTTTTCCACGAGCATTATTACCCACGATTCTGACTCTTCTTAGCATGTTCTTTGTATTCAGAAAGTTACTGAAAATAGCAATAATATTAATTAAATCACGTATAAATTCAATTGTCCATTCGTTCCCCTCACTGCGGAGGAAGGGGGGCGATTTTTTATCTCATTGTCAGACTCGGCCAGAGCTGTCCGATACGGGGAATATTCCCAAGCGAACCGCTAAGTAGTCGCCGGAGTCGGGGCCAGACTGTCGTAATTAAGTAACTGTCTGACTTGAGATAGGAATGTTGACCAAAAAGAGGACATAGAGAAGCTGATTTACGTGATTCCTGAGTTTTAGGCGTTCCCTATTTCAGAGTCGCCCCTCCATCTAAATTTTGTTTGGGGAGTAGCTCTATGGCTAAACCAGAGCACTACCTGGCATCTGACTTTTAAATAGCGTTGCTTAGACTTTGTTCCAACGAAATCAACTCGCAATCAAAATAGTTTCATCGGCAAATGCCTGCTGGAGGGTAGGTACCTCATCTGATTTGAGGATACCGGTAGTACGTAAAGAGCGGCTTCTCGGTGAACGAGGATACTAACTTGAGGGAAGTGGAGAGAGTACCTTGAGGTACGTATGTGGAAAGTAATACCTGGGGGGTACGTGAAGAGATTACCTTGGATTACGTGGAGAGGTTGATTGAGAAAAACCGAAGTTTTGTTTCAGGAAAGAAGACATGATGCGGTAGAAATGATGGGAAAAATTTAAAATCAAAATAATGTGTTAAATACTATCCATATTAGTTACACCTTAGACTATTTATTGTATAAAACTATGTAAATGTAAATGTTATTGAGCAAAACAATTTACCAGACAATAGACGAGCTGATTCAGTTTGCATAATATTAATGTTCTTAAGAAGCTTAATTGGCGTCTGATCAGTGATTGAAGTTTTGTTTTTGCTAGCAACGCAGCTTGATAGCTCTACGTTGCTTTAAAACTCAATAAATTGTTAACATCTGGAGTTCAAAAAAATTAAAATTTAAATCTTGCGGCGATCGCTGGAATTATTTTGCGCAGAGAAAATTATTTCAGACGATAAATATTACGACTTGGACCCGTATTGACGACCTGGGCCGCAGCGATTGGCAGACGAAGTATCAAACTCGTAACTATTTTTGCTAGTTCGGCTGTTGATTAATTTTGCAGATGAAATAATATTAGAAAAATAACAAGCTCTTGATGATGTATTTTGGAATTATATATACAGGACATCGGGGAACGGCAGGTGGTGCACTATCACCTGAAAAACTGGAACGAAGACAACCCTCCCGAGCCGATGAACTTCATCAAAGTCCTGAAAACAATCAGGGAACGCAAATCAAACTCCATGCTGTATGAAGAAGATTATGAAAATAGGGTCCTAGTGCACTGCGGGTGAGTCATAATTATGAGTTAATTGTTGAGTTATGGGTTGTTTGTTGAGTTTAAGTTTAATTAATGGTATATTCCAGTTTCTTACTTCATTGAAGGATTTTTGTTAACTTTGGTTATACGTTTATTTTAACATTTATCTCAAATTCATTGTTGTCTCTGGTTTGAAAATGAAAAGCTTTTAGTGATTTTATCGCGAATTTTATTTCTCTGAATGCCACTACTCGAAAATTTTCATTTCTTATGTACCAGTAGTTTGCTTTACAAAAACCTTAACTAATTACTTGTCCCTATATTGGACCCAAAAAACGCAAACACGTTACAGCTATTCAAGCTATTTTGAATTTATTATAAAACAAACATTTATCATTGAAGTGCTGGAGCGAACCGCAGCGGAGGCTTCATCGCTGTCTGGAAGCTGATGGACGACGTTGACCAAAACCGGAAGCCAAATGTCTTCGCAACTGTGGAGAAACTGCGACACCAGCGCATGCTCGCCGTCCAGACTCTGGTGAGCGAAGCTAACTTCAAGATAAAATTCTACATGTATGATTCTTGAGACGAGTTGATGTATGGAGATTTATGAACCGAATGTTATGCATTATGCATTGAACTGTGGATTTTTTTTACGTTTACAATGTATAATACTGTGTTTCAGAATTGGCTATTGAAGTTAAATGCTGTCTGGTCTTGGACGCATATTGTTGTGATCTTAGATGTATATGTAATCATATCTAAAATATCAATGAACCGTGCGCAAAGCAAATCGTCATCACTCTGAAAAGTTATTTAAACCACTCCTGAGGAAATTATTCAGTAATCATATATATTTATTGAATGCAACTTATTGTCCATTTAGAGCACGGTAATTGATAATTTAAATGAAAAGCATGTCCATAAAAATATTCACTAAAGTAAAAACACAACAAATCTATTAAACAATTTTTCCCGCAGAGGATGTATTGCTACATCCATGAATGCATCGACTTTTACGTTGAAAACAAGAAAATTATCAGTGAAGGTAAGTCAATGACGAAAAATGCAATAGATAGTTTTTTCATTCAAATCATTGTTTGTGCATCGAATTCAACAAATTTCCGTTAACGTGTCAAACTCTAATGATTTGTTAGTGAAATAATACTTAGTAAAAATAATGGACATCTTGGAAATTATCTAGAATTATGTATCACAATTTTTTCTGCATTCCAGTGCAACTTTGGATTTAAAACATAAGATTTTGGCCTTTCTATATAGTAATCTNTCAAGCGCAGAATAACCGCTATAAGTTTCATAAAACTCCATCTATTAACAATTTTAAGAGGATATGACCTGCAAGCGGTTTGACTTTCTCTATTGATTGAGCTTAAATTTGTTGTAATTTGTTAAACCGATTATGGTATGAATGTTTTCAATCAAGGTGGGGTAAATTTACTTGAATTTGAGCAAAAATTAATATTAGGGATGAAGTAAGAGAGGCTGCTCATGAGGCGTATCGAAATTTAGTAAAAAATTAGCTGACATTAAGATTAACATGTTAGTTTCCTGCAGTCACCGACAATTTGCTGTGTAAAGAATGTAAGATTTTCTATGAACGTCTAATGTTTATACTGTAGAGGGCTAGGTTAATTATTAAGGATAAATAATGTGTATTATCTTGATGTATGGTGTATAGGAAAATGATATATTTTAATTAGGAGGTAAAAGTTGCAAGATTGTTTTGGAAAGAATCGTAGCTTTACTGACTGGTGTCGTGCGAACCGATTCATTCGGATTTTAGAGAGCGGACAGTAAGGATGTTTCCATTCGGCCTGTATATATATGTCGTGTTCCAGATTGTCTCCGCGTACTTTGTAACCTTGCCCAATTACATATAAATATATGTGTTGTGGTGTTAGATTTCAAGTATATGTTGACCAGAAAAGACTTTTATTCACGATAACAGTTCATGCGAACCTGGTGGTCCCCAACAATACGATAGCAATTCCTTTATTAAAAATGGCTGAACTGAAGAGATGTGGCTCGTCAACCGTCGCATTATTTGCCGCGGTGCTTAACATAATCTACTTTGCAAGGGAGCGAAATCAGTGAACAATAATTAATAACCGACCTAAGAGTCTCTACGTAACGTTGTCGCGACTTGAAAAATATTAGCGACATTTTACTGCGCGGCAGGTTGCTGCAGTTCCTGAACAGGTGGAGTTGACGACCCTTAATAGAAGAGGTTTTCTACGCCTTCTTAATTGCAGGTTGCTGCAGTTCCTGGACAGGTGGAGTTGGCAACCCTTTTAAAGTCGTTTGTGTAGTGGGTAAGTGAAGGGAGTGTAGTGCACCAGAGGTGGACCCACTCGTCGCAGGAGTTGCAACGAACGGAGCCAACACTGCGTGTGATGCGTCTAGTGCAGGTGGGGCAGATGTAGATGGGTCCAGGATTGGACTCGATGTCCCTGGCGAGTAAGTGTTAGAGGGATTCAATGGCCGGGACATAGAACCCCTCTGTCGAAAAAGCGAGGGACGAATCCCCCGCCGGCGGCGCCGCCCAGGACGCAAGGTACCCCGGGCCAGGGCCCGGGGTGGGGTTGAGGTCGGGGAGTTTGGCCGTCGAAGGTCGCACGCTTCCTCCGACCTCCGACGGGTGCCGCCACTGCGCAGAGACACCCCGGTGAGAAGGGGCGCTCCACTCGAAGAAGCTCCCACATCCAGCGGTACGAGAATGGTTGAGTTGTCGGGCGTAAATGGGATTTTAAATAAATTCCTGGGTTTATGTAATTATGTAGTTGATGAGGGCCATTCACCCATACTCACGTCGTCAAATCGTGTAATCATTTTGTTCCATTTGCCGGTCTGTGCATGAAAATCACGCTAAACATGGCTCTTCTTACATGAGCCAATGAGATAACATGACTGACTGTTATGGTCTCGATTAAAGGGGTGCGTTAGCCTTCCTAACGGTGCTGTAATGAACGTAGCTCAGCTCCGAAGCTTAACACCGATCGTCTAGTGAACGCATATATCAGACGGATGTGTGGCATGCGTGTTGGCATTTACTGCGTTCAGCCGTGCATATTACTCCAACGCTGGCTGAGGCTAGCGTTCCCTTTTCTGTCTCGCTAGGGTATAAGTGTATCATGCGACAGTGGTGGCAGCTCTGTATGTATCCAATATATGTGGGGCTGTCATTATCGCCCCGGTTCTGAAAAGTATCTCCAAAATTTAATTCAAATATACATCCCAAAGAAGTATCATACATCAAAACACTCGCTGAAGCCCGGAGTTATCGGTTAAAAGAGTGCATGGTTGACCCTGGGTAAATGGTCGTTTACGAAATTTTGATGGCAAATATTCGAAATAATAGTGCGGGTAAATTCGGTAACCCATAATTTGAGCTGTTTATGCAGAATGTGATGATACACTTGTTGTACTATATACTGGCCTAAAATTGTGGCAGTTTCTTCTCAAATTCTCTTTTTTGAATTAAAAGAAAATATGACCGAGACACGAAGTTAAAATCTCTTTCTGACTTCGGATCAAAGGTTGAACTGCAGGTTTGAGTGTTGTGCTAGTAATTGTTATGTTAAAGTTGTGCTAATGGTCATGTTAGTAATTGCTTATTGATGTTGTTTTACAATTAGTGCATATAAATAGAATCTGATTGAAAGCAATGCAAACTAATCGTCTATCACGCTACGAGTTTATTTAATTAGTTTGTGGCGATTGGATTACAAGGTTAGGATAACGTAATAACATAACGTTAAATATTCTTTCTGTCGGAGCAAAAAAAGCGTTCCCATTGTCCATTCCAGTATTTAAGTGTTTAAACATGTGTCAACGTTCATTAAAGTTATGAAATTAATTCCAAAAATTGTTTCATCTAGGAGATGTCCTTTTTCCTTCTTTGTCAGAATAATGAAAAGAAATATCCTGCACTGAGGAGAAGAATTCTTTAAAGATAAAGGATGTATTCACTTAACACGTTTAAATGAATCTAGCGTCAAGAAAGGCAAAGCAAATTCCAGATGTTAAAAGATATTTAGCAGGAAAACAGACGTGTTTTAAATCAATTAACCCATGAGATGATCGATCAATGAAATATCAAAATAAGCTCAGCGGATAGATTATTAGTTGCAGTTGCTGGAAATGATGCCATTGAGGCGGACATTTCTTTCCCCCGGACAACTGATGAAAATTTCAGCGAGAACTCGACCTCTGATTCCCCGTCGACCACCTCGTTCCCTCCTTCAGGTGATATATTTATCCTTTCATTATCTCACCTAGCCTATCTTTAAGTAATTCTAATAATCTGCAGCAATAATTTCTCACTTACATTTTCGTTCCAGGAATAAGTAAGCGTTTTTAATTAGTTCGTTTCAGTCAGGCAATCCATTATTTAAAATTAAATAATTTCATTTCTGCACCTAATATATTACTCTATTATGTCATAAGGAAAAATGAAGTATATGAATCTCTTGAAAGTTTGCGATTGTAATAAACTCAATACGTGAAAAAAATGATAATTACAACTGGAATTAATATCAATTTCAGAAGATTGTCTGTCAATCTTCGGATGACGTTTCATTATCGACATTACCAGCCACTTCAGAATTTCTACTGTTTTTCGTATTAGTAGAATGTCAGCCACAACGTATTCACAATTTAGCATATTCTCCGAATACCTTTCATTATTTTCTAAATACCGTGAAACATTAACATTTATAAAATAAATTTGTATTACCTCTTGACGGAGCCAAACTCCGGGTTGATATTAGCCATTTCTTGCTCAGCATCTATTTTGCAGATATTTGTCCTCAGCAACTTGTTCCAAACGAGTATGCCCACATGCGGAGTAAGAAACCCGAATACTAACAATTCATACGAAGGAGTTATGAAAGGAATCGTTATAAATTAATTTATATTATACATGCATATTATCTTGCTTAAGATTATATAATATAAATAATGTAAATATAACATTATGTATTTATATTATAATATAAATATTCCCTGTTATAAATATTAAATGATGGTCGGCTCAACGAAAAGATGGTGAATAGGATTGTCCACCTTTAACCACGTGCACGTTGCAAGAGGGGGTGAAATTCCGTGAATAACCTCACTGAGAACGGATTTCACGACGTAGTCCAGAGTAGCCAGCTGTTAGACTTTACAGCGCTGTGAAAGGGGCTTTGAACGCCAGTGAAATGCCCTGAGTTCATGACTGAGGGACTAAGTAATCAACATACTTAGAACTATCAGTTATCAACTCGCTAATGCAGCCACCCTAGTGCGAGCCGAATCATGCTATAGGGTGCGTGGGAACAACTAAAATTTTGAACATAATTAACAGGATGATGATAATTTGGCCTAATTGACATGATACGAGAATACAAGCGCTAGAGGCCTAGATATAATAGCGAAAATAATTAACTGAATAGAGGTCCGTTTTAATCAGTCAACAAGCAAATTTTCTGATATCATTATATTTTATGAGATGTAGTTTCACAAACGTGCAAAATATTTAGTACATGTGAAATTGTTGCGTATTGATATCAGGAAGCATTATGAGTAAACAGTACCTGCCTTCATCGATTTTGTTTCATCAGACAAATTTTCTTGCCTTGATAGTTGCGTTACTGCAATAAGGTGGTTAATCCGTTATCCTAATTACTGACGGCATACAACCATTGAGTTTGACTGTTAACAATTGAGGTCAAAGTAATACATGTATCGGTAGAAGAGACAAAATGTGCAAGCAGTTGTTTTTTGTAGTGCATTTCCGTTCCATACGTTGTTTTCGTATTAAAATTGTTCATTTACATCACTTATTCAAAAAATATTTTACCATGTAAATGGAACTGTTAGTTAAATATTATCAACCTGAAAATCCAACTGCATGTGATAGTTATCTACGATTTCATTAATTATCTACGATTTTATCCAATTATCTACGATTTCATTAACATTATCTCTGAAATATTATCGAGATGTGCATTTACCGAAAGAAATTGAGTTTTAAATCTGTAATTTTTCCTGTTCTTCGTCGATATAAACATAATTTTTTAGTATCTATATGTCGTGTTTCAGCTAGATTGATGAACAAGCGAAGCAAGGGTTTAAACAGGGATCCTAATTGCTACAAATGAACTCATGATAATTCATAAATTGAAAATATGTGAGATTAGGTAATTTATTCAGCAATTAAGCCATAACACGTCGCCAGCTACGAAGTAACCGTTTTCGGAGAGGAGAGTTCAAACGCCCTAATCTGATAACATAGATAAAAATACCTACAGTTAAGGAAGTGATATCACATCGGCTCACAGCAGGTAATTGTTTTTTATTCGATGATACAACACTTTTATAATAAAACATTTAAATTGTGCATTATCTACAGAGGCTTACAAAGGTTGTAAAGTAAGAACTAAGGTACACTCTTATCAGTTTCACGCTCCCACTGAGTAGCTTATGTACTGAATTCTCTCACAGTTTGTTCCTTCTGTGTTAGATGCATAGCATGCTTTGTCTGTTATGAACCGTGATGAAGTGAATTCTGAAAAATTAACGCTTGCAGTGCAAAGAAGGCAGAACACGATGGTTGAGTTGTCACTAAGCCTGGTGTACCTGGGCTGCCTGCTAGTGTCCTCCACTCTCCAGGTCAGCATAGCGTTTGTTTATAATTATAGATTATTGAGTTTCATAAAGTACTCTTTAATTTAGGTTTCATAGTTCCTGCATTTCATTTTCCATGAAGACCTAACTGCTTTGTGCTGCTTGAACGAACATTATTTGAAAATTTTGTGACTTCAAAAAATTCATGTTCAAATTAGTTTCATGTGGAACTGTTCGCATAATCTGCAAAACAAAAACATCGAACATTTTGTGTTAGAAGTAATTTTATTTCTAAGAAGAATTTTCGCTGATACTTCTCCATGTTGCCATTCGCAAAGCACTTCTCATTGAGGACATTCCTCCTCCTTGTGCAGATCCAGACGGTACGGGCGGCAAAAGGTGCGTATATCGTAATTCACGCTATTATTTTAATACATTGCAGATTATTTAATATGAGTTCATTGATATAAAGATGAAAATAGTTCTTCATCAGTAGCTCATACAGACAATGTTGACTCCAGCCAGATCACTTATCATATTGCGACACCGTGAACCAATTTGTCAAAGTTAAAATTTTAGCATTAGCATAAGCTTCTACATCATTGGAAGGACACAAAATTTGAATATGAGAGAAATTTAATTTTCGGGACTGTACAGCTTCATGCCAGCTCTTAATTTCAGGACAGTTTTAATTCCGTACCCACTTTCAAACCAGACGTGGTGAGCCAACTGAAGCTATTACCACAAAAAACGATGATCGCCGCGACGTGGGAGCTGCAGGAGCCAACTGGTGAAGTTATAAGGTACCTGGTATCATGGATACCTGATGGAGACATCGACCCTGCTGCATGGTGTTTCGTTAACTCGCCTGTTACCAGCACCTCGGCCTGTGATATGTACCCGAACTTAGACAGCTGCACTCTTTACACCGTCACGGTGCAGCCATGGGTAAACAAGAATAGAAATAAAGGTGAAAAAAACAAAGGCACCCCTGCGTCCGCAGCAAACTACACCCTGCTGGATGGTGAGCGGGGCGAGCATTTTATCATCGAGTCGATATTGAAGAGTGAAACACTTGTAAAAAGCAGCAGTACGCGTCATGCATTACCAAATTATCTCACACATTTGATCGTTTTATATCAAATAAGAAAGTGAACAACGACAACCGCTATCTTGTCTAAAACGTTCAATAAAGTAGAGTTTCTCTGAACGATAACCTTCAACATGGCGATGTTAATGGCAATCATTAAATATTCAGACAATTTCAAATTCAGTTCTTTATTTTCAGAAAGCGGGTGAATTTCGTGATTGTTGATGTAGATTGTAGAAGTTCGCAGGAAATATAGCAAGGTTATCTTTATTTGGGCTCGTAACTTTACAACATAGTAACAATTGAGATTTACTAACATCTGGTCCTTGCCCAGTTACGATGATAAGCATTGACTGTTCTGCCAACGGCCAAGACATCTCAGTTTTGTGGAATAGCCCGGGAGACTGTGTGGCTGAGTACTTCGTATCATACACGGGGGTTGCCATGTTGGGGGAAGAGAAAATCACTCATGGTGACCTCACGACAAGCTACACCGCCGCAACTTTCACGAACCTCGTGCCTTATGCGAACTACTCCATCTACGTGGGCACGCGAGGAGTACCGGATTTTGCAGGCTGCGTTACTCAAACTGACCAAGCTAGTGAGTTGGGGTGTAAATGTTTATTATTTAAGAATGAAATGTAATAATAATACAGCAACATTTTTTATGAGCACACTGTACACATCAAAGTATAAATTCCAATAGTCTTCCTTCTACACACTAGAGCCTTCAGCTCCACTGGACTTGACTTTCGAGGCCGTGACGGCGACATCCTTCACAGCGACGTGGCTGAAACCCAGACAGGAGAACGGCCAGCTCGGGGCCTACCAAGTGAGGTGGTGGAGCGAGGGAGGCAATGCAACAGTTCAGAATGCCACCGAAACTCGGTTAGAAATTACGAACCTGAACCCTTGTGATGCGTACACCGTAGCTGTGGCGCTGTGGCGGCCACAACAGGCGCTGGACCTGGAGAGAAAATTCAGCTCAAGCAGGAAACTAGGGAGGCTGGTGAGCTATGTTCAATTAATTTATAGACAATTGTATCCACTGATTGAGAAACTAACAACATTAAACTAACAACATATAAATGGAAATTTTTAAATAACTGATAATTAGCATTAATTTTGTCTTTCATCGTTTGATAATTAAAAATACACACTATAGAAGGAAGTTCGGCAGTTTGGGAGAAGTGTTGACATTTCCTTGATTTCCTACACCTAGTGATTAGAATAAGAAAAAAAATATGAAATAAAATAGTTTCTTATCATTTTATAAATTTTTAAGTTGGAGAATCGGAGTGATTACTCCACCAATTTTACGTTACGTTCAGGTTCAGGTTCAAGATACCGGCCGGTATTCATTACTTATCGTTTTGTCAGATTTTCGCCGAGGGTCTGACACGTGACTAGGTTCTCGTACGAATAGGTTTTACGGCAAACATAGTACAAAGAGAGGGTTGTAATGAAACACTGATACATTTCATATTAAATTTTGAAATTCAAGTTCACATCCTACGTTAACAAAAATCTCTAGTACATGAAAAATGAAATCTGAACACAATCAAAAGTCCAAAACCTATCAGTTTACATCATTAAAATCATCTAATTTTACCGGGAAATGTTGATACATTGCAGTCCCGTTGAGCCGTATGACTGTTGTAAACGACCGTAACTTGCGCACACGTTTGCGGCCGAAGGTTCAGCGGCCGTACCGCTGCTGTATTCTGGCGTCTTCTCTACAGTTGCTCTTTCTTCATAGCCGTATCTCCCGCGCTGCAGCGATGTCTCACGGCCGGTCTAACCGTAGAATTTATGACGACCGTACTTCAATTGATGACTGTGACCGTCACGCTTCTTCTAATGAGAGTTGTGACCGTACTATTGATGACCGTACCGATGATAATTCTTGGTGTAGAGCTCGACACTTAAATCTTCCGATGACGTGCGTTATAATCGTTGTACAACTCGTGGCCCTCTCGCATTGTCTCACGGCTGAGTCGCAGCCGTAGTGTTGATGTTGATTTTCTTGACGTGCTCACCGGACTCCTAGCCGCTTCGATAAGTCCAGGTTTTTCGCGACCGTCAATGTTCGATAACGGTAACACCGCCGGCCTCACGGCCGCGGCCGTTCCGTCCGCTGGCTGCAGACCGTGTTTGTGTGACGGTCACCTCCGTAGAACCAACCCTTGGCGCCAATTTTAAGGTCCTTATATAGGCAGCAGTCGCGCACAGTTAAGCCTATACCCTCGAAGTGACGCCGCATTCCTCGAATGGAATTTCCCTCGCGCTGAGCTCGCCAACGCTCGATGTAAACTAACTTGTTCCCACGGTCTCAAAACAACCGTGCCTTACACACTTGCTATATCGCTTCAACCCGCATTCTTAGCATTCTTAACACCTACGCATGATACATGTTCAATATCACCTACTTTATTCACTAGCACCGCCAGCGGGATCACCTCCTGAAGTATCGTCCGTGGCAAGTCGTAGCGTCACCCTGACGTGGACCAAACCTGTCACTAAATGCGAGGTCGTCAACTACACAGTTGTGTACGGCGGTCAGGTCATGTGGGGAAACCACGCAACCTTGGAGGTTAATTCTGCATATTCCGAGACTACGACGATAAATATCGCTGGTTTGACGCCGTACAGCAACTACTCCTTCTCTGTTGTGGCAGCGACTGCAGCTGGGAAGGGGGAGCCTTCACTGCCAACCTATTGTGTAACGCTGGAAGATGGTGAGTGGGGAAGAGGGTTACTGGGGAAGAGGGTTAGTGGGGAAGAGGGTGAGTGGGGAAGAGGTGAGTGGGGGAGAGGTGAGTGTGGGAAAGGGTGAAAGATAGAACTTTCAGAGAGGGTGAAAACTTTCAATTGTGAAAGAGACGGCATACAGGCGTATATGTATATGTATTTATTTGACGTATGCCAATAATTGCGCACTAATTTCTTAAAACATGTATGAATTAAATATTTTGCATTCATCGGTAACTTATCTAAAAACTTTCTGCAGCTCCTAGTGCACCACAAAATTTACTCTTGGAGGCCCGGAGTGACGCCCTCGTCGTGCAGTGGGACGCGCCTGCGGAGCTCAACGGCGTCGTGGTCTCCTACCTCGTCAGCAGCAGTCACGGTGGCGAGGTTGTCACCAACCAAACTCTTGCAGCTCCACCTGAACAAACGCGCTTCACCTTCACCGTTGACGGCCTAACTGCTGCCACCGACTACAACATAACCGTGCTGGTGAGTCCATCGATCATACAAACTATAACTTAGCCGTGTGACTAATCATTCTTCCAACCGCATTAGCAACCATATGAAAGGTCCAACATTGTTCCCAATAAATCAATTCTAGGTCACACTTGAGTTATGTATAATTATATATAAGCATTCACAACATCGATCGCCTTGATTGGCACATCATCGATCATCGTGCGACATCCATCAAACGCAGGGTAGAACAATGTGTCAAAGTTGCTCCAAAATTTGTTCTTTGTGACTCGCGAAAAGGCTCCTTCCATTCCAAATTGGCAAAGAATTTAGAAAGAAATCATAAAATGGAACATGTCAATATCGCTCGAATGGAATTTTATAACAATTTATGACCAGAGGATGTTTCCCATCTGTAGGCAGTTACGACTCGAAGAGGTGAAGAATTGGTGCAGCAGTTCGGCACTTCTTCAGGAAAGGAGGCAGGAGTTGTCGTGTACATCGTCATTGGCGTCCTGCTGGGAGTAGGGCTGCTTGTAGGACTCGTGGTTTTCATCTACAAACGCGACGTGATCTGCAAAAAGTTCCAATCACCGACATCCGGTTTCCGAGAAACGTAGGATTATTTTCTCACGCAATGAATTCCAGAAGCATGATGTAATTGGTCATTAGCCATTATGGCATTTAGAATTAGATAATAACAACAGAGGTGCTGCTATCTTGTTTTGAGTTAGAAATAAATCAGGTAAACATTTGTAAAAAAGCTTTATAGATAGAAAAACAAATTTCCTCGTAGTGGTTCAGTATGTTCGTATTCTGAAAATGAGGATATTTATTTTCTTTCATTTCAGTTCCACTGAACAAAATGAACTTGCAGCAGGACTACTGCAAACAATTAAGCAGGTAATGATCTGTGGAGCTGAAGTAAAGCCCATGTTGCTCATTCGCATACAAAAAATAATAAACCACTGAAAGGGGTGCTTGAGCTAAAGCCTGTGATTACAGTGGATGGAAAATGAGCTAGACCTCATAAAGGTGATCAAAATAAAATGTTGGAAAATAACTAAAGATTTTCCATATGAAATATGGCTATTATTCATACTAATTTGAGTAGATCGGACTGTCTCAGGAGAGTCAAGAAAAAACGACAGTATCAACACTGATATAATGATATAAGGGTTAAAGTTAAACCCTAGTTGAATTATTCAACTCATCAATCTGAACCTTTACATTTGGCTGACTTTCAAGTGAAGTTGTATTGCAAAACTGCACTGACATGTGACGGCTACCTTGGAGGTCAACCCAACGTTTTAAAACTGAATAAAAGTGTAAAAAGTAGTTTCATGCCTGAAACGTGTAATTGAGTAGATGTAATATATATAAGTATATATACTACGTGAAACAAAAGTTATCAAATGCCAACTGTCATAATAAATATTCTGGTGAATAGAGGCTATCAGAAAATGAAAAACAATAACTGAAATTGAAGGGAAACAGACGTTACAAATAAAAAGTATCTAAATGAAGTTCAAATCTTATCAAAAATCAATCCATAAAATCATTATACGATGAAATTCATGAAAGTAAGTTCCACCTGTGTTCATTATATTTCGATTGTCCGTTATTTTCTAGTTCAGATACGAAATATCATTAAGTTAAAATTTTAATCGTTTGTTTCTTCATGCTTTTACTAAGCCGTTGAAAGATCCTCGTGAGCTGACGACAGCCTTCGCCGCTCTGAGGTCGAGAAGCAGAGTCGCTCCCACGGACGAGGCTGCCAGCCGTCCTAATATCGCTAAAAATCGCTACCAGGACATACTACCTTGTTAGTCGTTATTGCATTGTTCATTATTTATTGCATTGTCGTTATTGCATTGTTATTGCATTGTTCATTGAATGTCGCTAGAAATCGCTACCAGGACATACTACCATGTTAGTGGTTATTGCACTGTTCATTATTTCTAAAAATGATTGTTTCTAAAATTGTGAAATAAAAATTAAATTTCTCTTTGTAAAATAATAGGGTACTTATACAACTATGGACGGGCCGTATTAGTTTTCTGTTGCAGCTATCTCTCTTTTCTCATTCTTAAACTCAGTCACGGTATTCAGGAATTTAACCAACGGCCTTTTTACAACTTAAATGAAACTGACATCCAAGCACATTGATTGTTGCTTAAAACTTATTAAAGTAGCAAATTAACTACACATTATTCGAAGTCCGTCTTTTATTTTTTTTTTCAAGAAATCAATTGCATATATTATCAAATGCCGAATTACTGAAATTGTTTTGGTATTTATTTTAACTGTGCAGTTAACGACACACGAGTCAAACTACGCGGCGAGTGGAGCACCGACTACATCAACGCCAGCTATGTTAAGGTCGCTCTTCAGTTGTTTGATCTGCAAATAAATTATCGTCTAACCTTATCAATAATGACCACACCTCGCCCTTTATCCGGCCTACTTACAATTATGTTACGATTAGAAGCAAATTTTCGAAGTTCAACTAAATCCTGCTTGGTAGCAATAGCTGAAAATATTTTAAATGGCTTGAAGTTATAATAATATCTATTTGCAACAATTTGTCAGTTATTTTCTAGTTCAAATACGAAATATCATTAAGTTAAAATTTTAATCGTTTGTTTCTTCATGCTTTTACTAAGCCGTTGAAAGATCCTCATGAGCTGACGACAGCCTTCGCCGCTCTGAGGTCGAGAAGCAGAGTCGCTCCCACGGACGGGGCTGCCAGCCGTCCTAATATCGCTGAAAATCGCTACCAGGACATACTACCTTGTTAGTGGTTATTGCATTGTTCATTATTTATTGCATTGTCGTTATTGCATTGTTCATTGAACGTCGTTATTGCATTGTTCATTATTTCTAAAACCGAATGTTTCTGAAATTATGAAAGAAATTTCTCGTTTCAAAATAATAAGATAATTATGCAACTATAGACCCATATTGCTTTTCTGTTGCAGTTATCTCTCTTTTCCCATTCTTAAACTTAGCCACGTTATTCAGGAATTTAACCAACAGCCTTTTTACAACTTAAATGAAACAGACATCCAAGCACATTGGTTGTTGCTTAAAACTTGTTAAAGTAGCAAATTAACTACACATTACTCAAATCCAAGTCAGTCTTTTATTTTTTTCAAGAAATCAATTGCATATATTATCAAATGCCGAATTACTGAAATTGTTTTGGTATTTATTTTAACTGCGCAGTTAACGACACGCGAGTCAAACTAAGCGAGTGGAGCACCGACTACATCAACGCCAGCTATGTTAAGGTCGCTCTTCAGTTGTTTGATCTGCAAATAAATTATCGCTTATTTTGAAAAAATAGTCTTGTATAAAATTAACGAAATTACTGAAGCCTCCAACAGTTCAAATTTATTCCATGAGTATTAGGTGAAATTCCGGCAAATAAATATGAAATTTAGAGCGGGAGATACACAGCAGCATGAACATACTTGATCAGCGCGATATAGAGTATAGAACAACAGAACAATTGAGCCAGATACATAAGTTATAAAACAATATACCTCTTAATAATTCGTCATTATAAGCAAACCGGATGAGCGCGGTGTTTCACTAAACATCAAGTCATTGAAAGCTACTAGAGTATTCTAACGACCTTCAAAATTGTTAAAATATTCCCAATCAGTCTGATTGTTAACTTTTTCTTCGAAAATTATCAAAATTCAATAACGGCAACGATAGGACGCCGTCGGCAGCGTTCGCTTCATCGCGTGTCAGGGACCGAAGCCTGGGACTGTGCCGGACTTCTGGCACATGGTCTGGCAGGAAAAAGTCCAATTTATTGTCATGTTAACGAACTGCTACGAGAAAGGAAAGGTATGAATTTTTACTAACTCTATTAGTTCATTATTATTCTATAGTTATCATTATTATTTCTTATTTTATTAGTTCTTTATCTCTGGGCCCTGTAAATTTCGACGTCAATATACACGTGATTTCCTACCTCACATATTGCTGTATAGTTTTAAACGTCTAAATCAATTTTCCGTGCACCAAGTCTGCGAGTGTCTGCATTTTTAAATCAAGTTTTCCCGACAAATATTATCCTGTTATCCCGAAAAAGATTTATACATATAAATTTAAAATTTAATATCCATTCGCATCCAATATTTTCCCCTCAGGTTTGCAATGCACAGAACAGAGAATAAAATTTCAGGTCCAGGTATTATCCCGACACGACATGTATCGTGGAGACTCGTCCGAACTGTTCCGATATATATACTGTTCAAGGCTTCATGTACACCAATAAATAAGCTTTGGAAAAACTATAATATTGTAGTGCTGACATTTCATATATCAGAATAGAGTTATTTTTTCAATTATATGTTGTCAAATTTCTGCATGCATTAAAGAATCGTGCGCAATTTTTTCAATTATATGTTGTCAAATTTCTGCATGTATCAAAGAATCATGCGCAACGTCTTTTGTTCTTTGCAGGAAAAATGTTGCATGTACTGGTCTGAGACGAGGAAGTCAACGTTCCTGGCTGATCAATATGTCATGACTCTCATGGATGAAGATCAAGGACCTGACTGGAATGAGCGCAGGATCCTCCTGCAAAATGACGTGAGTTCTAAATGGATGTCTTCTATATCTCAGTGTCCTTGCAAGCTTTAGCATACATTAATATTCAAGTCCTTGAAAAACTTTCATAATGACTTAATGAGAATGAAATGTTTATTACAATAGTGATTGCATTTTTTCACGTTGATTTGTCAATCGTACATTCATTTTGTTCATGTTTCAGATGTGCATTGTTGAAATTATATTAGGAAACTCCCACACTCTTATTAGAAATATGTTATCCTGCACTCATTTGGCAATGGGATAACCGATAGAAATAACTCTTAAGGAATGGGAGAAGCTGATATGCGACCAAACGCTTACAATTGCATGGTAAAATTGATTATCTTCTTGCCATATTCCTTCTGTGTTTATACGTATGTGTGGTAGTGCAGCTATAGGTGGTCATGCCATCGGCTTTTTGTGTCGTGCTTGCTTGATGATTCCGAAATCCAAATTTGCTGCGGCTTTCATCAAATAGTTTTTATATTTCATGAACAACTCAATTGTTTGCTCTAAAATCGTTTGCAGTAACCAGAACACACGTAGCTCACATTCCGGCAAGCTTTCTGCATTATGTGATTTTTGGCTCCAAACTTTCAGCATATTTCGTTATTATCTAGCTATGAAGTTAAAAATTATAGTTATAACTTTATAAATGCTGAAACTTTTAGAACTTTAAGATGCTGAAAATGTAATTTAATATTGATTCGAGACACATCTGGGCCTGACGTTTTGCAGCGGAATTTTGCAAGAACAACTAACAACGTTTTAGAGCTTGGGACTAAACCTAATATTCTCAATTTGATATGTTTCTCTCCCGTATTTCTCAAAAATTAAAATTCAACGAGTAGTTCGAATCACACTCAAAGAAATAAGCGTGGCTTAGTCCAAATAGAGATGCATTTGTTGCTCTCATGTGTGTCATTAATGCTGAATTTAGCCCGGTATAAGGGTGTATCAGTGCCCATTTGGCTCTCTGCTCGTACTCTGGATAAGAAAGTGCGTTAGATTTTCGGCAATATATCCCATTCATTTCTTCGAGTGCAGGTACTAAAGTAGTACCAACAAGTTTAACTTTTGTTCCTCACAGCCCAGCCCTGCCAGAGAGGTCGTGCAGCTGCACTTCACGTCGTGGCCCGACTTCAACGTGCCGGCGTCCGAGGCCGCTTTGCTGAGGCTCATCAGCAGCGTCAGGACGCATGACCGGGGAGACGGAGTCTCTTGCTCCCATCCTCGTGCACTGCAGGTGATTGCATAGCAAAGCATAGCGGTTTCAGCGTTTATTAGGCCGTAGGCCTGTCGCCAATTCTTGACATGGCAGAATATTCACAGCTTCTTGCGGTCTCCAACTCACTGCTCCAAATTCTGCTGTACTTAATAACCGCCCGGCAATCTCGCCGCCGATTCTGACCAGAAACTGGCGCACAGAGCTGGGATCGAACCCGCGCCTCTGCGCCAATCTTGGTACTCTCAACAGACTGCACTGTATACCACTGGGCCACTGTGAATTTGCACAGTTATGATTATATAACAAACAAATATGGTCCTAAGAAATCATTAAGCTTGTTCTGAATAGAAAAAGTATATGAGTAATATTTTCAACATTGACTAATATTTTCAATTTGGAAAGTACCAGTTTCAAGTAAATTGCTATGGCATTCATCGAATTATCAAGCATGTTAACGAATGTCTTTGTGTACTGCATGATGCAATGTTGCAAGAATCGAACTACTATAGATTCTTTTGGGAAATGCTACGCAGGGAATATTAGCTCACATTAATCGATACACATTTTAATGTTATAAACAGATCATATCATGCTTTCATCCTATAAAACAAAGAAACAAGTAATTAAAAGGGAATTCTCAGAACCACGGCTACTTCTATTTGAGAATTGAGCACACTAATAACTTATAAATGGATTCACAATTGGGTGCACGAATCATAACATTAATTACTTTAGTGACTTACAATTTCCCTATTTGATGCTTCTTCAGTGTCTTGTATTTTCCACCCATTTATATATAATTTCTTAACAATAATTTCAATTTTGGGTACAGTGAATACTCTGTTTCTTTACTATGCAATCAATGTTTTCAATTTTTGTGTGTAATTAGTAAGCAATTCTTTTTTAGCTACTTTGCAATGATATTCTTTCAATAAATTGGTTGAGTTAATAAAATAATTTCTTCTGACAACAACAGTGCGGGGGTGGGCTTGATGTGAGGTCAAGTCAGGAGCGAAGTCAAGTCTGAGGTGAGGTCAAGTCTGAGTTGAGGTAAAATCCGAAGCGAGGTCAAGTTGAGAGCGAGGTCAAGCCTGAGGTGAGGTCAAGTCTAAGGTGAGGTCAAATCTAAGGTAAAGTCAACTTTAAGGTGAGGTCAAGTTTAAGGTTAAGTCAAATCTAAGATGAGGTAAAATCTAAGATATGGTCAAGTCTATAGCGAGATTAAGACTGAGGTGAGGTCCTGATTGAGGTCGGATTTTAAATAAATTTGTATGAAATAATTACTAAACAAGAAAGCACTCATTCTACTTTATAAGTGCCGATGTTTCTGCTGCGTCTCTCGACAGTAAAATCCACAAACGTGAATAATTAATGATGCTACTGATAGGTACATTTATTCAAAACGAAAAAAAAATGTCTGGAATTATTATATAGCATGAAGGACGAATTTGAAATCCGAGGTCATAACATCTCATGCAATGCAAAACGGGAATAGTTCTGCTCATATAAGACAATTTCTTCAACTGTGCCGTATTTTGAATACTATTGCAGGAGCAGTACCTGTTCGTGCGCAAGTGCTTCTCCGAGCATTTGAGAAAAAATTGAAACACCAACCCTAACGGTAAGCCTATAAACATTTGCATACCTTATTGTTCGAGTGAATTAATGAGTGACATTTGCTAGTGCAAGTAATACGTAACTAAGATACTATCTGTCGTAACATATTCATGATATCCGGCAAGATTACAGTGAGTGATTCATTTAGGTCTAATGAGAAGATCTCGCTTGGCTGAAAAGTGTGTCTGGGCCAAAGTTCTTCAAGACAAAATTGGCACCCTCACTGATAAAGTTTTTACTAGTGTTTGGGATGGTGATAACTGGGATATCCGATCAACATTTGCATTTGTGAAAAATCAATCGTTAAAAATAGATGAACATCAATTAAAATTAAACCAGTATAAAATAAAATACTTAAAAAAGGCTATTTTATTAAACAATTCTTTATTTCAATGATTTCCAGCTCCAAAAACCAGATCATTCAATACATGAAGCCTTCTGATGCGCATCACGAGAGCTTATTTTAATACCATGGCTGCGAAAATCATCATCACAAGTAATTCAATAGCGTTGAATTTAATAAGTGCATTTTTTAGGAAACTTGATGTTGTTCGGCAGAAGCTTCTCTTTTATGCAAGTTTGATTGAAGACCAAGAATTTCCAGGAAACATAAATGCTGCGTGCAGCAACTACAACAACTTGGCCGTCCTCGGGTCACGCTCGAAAAAGCGAGGCCCAACCCAGTCACGCCAGAGCAACGGATAGCTGGCGTCAGCACTCACCTACTTCAGCTGCTGAGGCACCAACTGCTGCCCTACAACCAGTAGATATGAGACTACAACTAAGGCACAAGCCAGAGTTCATCTAATGCCATCTCCACCTGGCTCCTCAACATTCATTTCTTCCACCTCTCACCGGCCTCGTCCCCCACCTCCAATTAGGAGACTTGCATCCACATCTGAAAATCGAGCTTCTTATTGTAAAAAAATTCGACCTCTTCCTGCCCCTTGACATATGTACAAGGAGTACAGTATAAGGGAGCTCTCGATGCTAATTATTATATCTCTTTAGAGAGATCGTATAAAAAATATTAACATATCACAATCAATATTAGATACAATATTAATGAGTGAATAACGAAGGTTTAGAAAGGTACGAAAACTGCGGACTCGCGTTATAGAACAGTATGAGGCCGGACCATTCATACCGGCTATAACATCGAGACTGAGAACACCCAACTTTGCTGGATCACATAACATCTCGATCTCGGAAAGTCAGGTCAACCGCTCTCGCAATGTCAAGAAAACACCGGCCGCACACGATCAGTTGGCAGAGCTGGAAGACAAGTAAACAGTAGAAGTCATGTCCACAGTTCCAGACCTGTAAGTAATGTAAGAAGCAACCGCATAAATCAGAGCGAAATTGCTCAAAAAGTTTTTAAATGTTTTTACACGAACTCGTATTCCGTTCCGAACAAAAAAAAGTGATCTGTTAACTGTGATCGCAAACGAGCGTATAGACATTATTTGTATTACAGAAACACTTCCTAAAAATCAAGGGGTGAAATTGTACCTGTTGAATTTCAGGTGCCAGGCTTCGATTGTTTTCATAACTTAAATGAAGAGCAATGCAGTAATGGTGTAGCTCTGTGGGTTGGAACCTCTTATGGGGCCCAGAAGGTTAAGTTATCTGCAGAGCATCAATCAGCTAGAGAATCAGTGTGGTGCGAACCTACTCTAAAAGGCAAGGATAGCCTCCTCATATAAAGAGCAATGCAGTAAAGGTGTAGCTCTGTGGGTTGGAACCTCTTATGGGGCCCAGCAGGTTAAGTTATCTGCAGAGCATCAATCAGCTAGAGAATCAGTGTGGTGCGAACTTACTCTAAAAGGCAAGGATAGCCTCCTCATAGGGGTCCTTTATAGATCACCTAACGGCTCCTCTGATAACGATGAAGTACTATAAACAGCATTTTACCGAGCATGACTTTCAGCAAGTCGCATACGTTGATCGTTGGTGACTTTAACCATCCAGAAATAGATTGGGCAGATGAATCTTCTCCAAGAGATGAGAATCACCCAGCATCCCCGTTGTTGGAGTATGTGCGAGACTTATTTTTTATCCAGAACATCACCAAGCCAACCCATTTTAGGGGTAAACAAACCCCAAATATTCTAGATATAGTGTTTACTAGTGTAGAATTAATGATAGATGAGCTTCGCCACGAGGCTCCGTTGGACAAAAGCCACCACCAATCATTGTTTTTCAGTATAAGTGATGTGCAGAAAAGACGCTTCGGAAATGTGAACGTTTGAACTTTGCGAAAGGCGACTATGATAAACTCCGTGAAGCGGTGAATGTGGCGAATATTTCAGGCTGTATTAAGGACATGAATGTGGCTTATTCATGGTCATTTCTCAAAGACACGGTTATGTCTGCAGTTGATGCTTGTGTACCTAAGATTACGCTTGGAGGAGTAAAAAAGTCCCAGTGGATGAACAGTACAGTTAAAGCTCAGCTAAAGACCAAGAAAGAAGCCTACAATCGTTATTTACAAACTTGGAGCGATTCTGATTATAACCTGTATGCAAGAGCTCGAAATCAAGCTAAAAAAAGTCTGTCGCACTGCAGTGAAAAACTTCGAAAAAAATATTGCTAAAAATGCAAAAATCCGAAAACTTTCTTTTTGTACGCTAGTTCGAAGTGTAAGTCAAAGGAAGGTATATCTAATTTGAAAGTAGACCAACGAAAGATTTCCTCTGATGAGGGCAAGGCCAGCGTTCTTCATCAGTTCTTCAGCAGTGTGTTCACAAATGATGACTTGAACAGTTTACCAGATATTGAGGAGCGCCCAGCCGGCTCGAAGTTAAAAGGTTTTTAAATACACGAGGAAGAGGTTCTCAAGAGCCTGGGAGCTCTAAATCCCAACAAGTCATGTGGACCAGACGGCTTCCATCCCAGATTGCTCAAAGAATTAGCAACCGTTCTGGCCAGCCCATTGACAGAATTCTTTAAAAAAACATTGAACGAAGGAACTTTGCCGTCCGACTGGAAAGAAGCTCAAGTAACACCATTGTTCAAAAAAGGTAACCAAAGCAGCCCCGGCAACTATCGCCCTGTCAGTCTGACAAGTGTTGTTTGTAAGCTAATGGAATCTGTTGTGAGGAATATGATTTTCGATCACTTGACTGTCCACCATCTCCTGCAAGATTACAATATGCAAGATTACAGACAGCAAGATTACAGTATGAGAAGACATGGTTGCAACGGGAGAGTAATGATTGAAAAGTCTAGTGTGGAAAAAGATCTCTGAGTTCATGTCGACAAGGAGCTGAAATTTTCTAAGCACGTTGAAGCGAAAGCTAACACATATAACAAACTTCTTGGACTAATCAGACGCTCATACGAGTTCTTAGATGCAGAAGCGATGAAGCAGTTGTTTGTTGCTGTCGTGCGCCCGAATC